CATGAGTAAAAAATGTACAAAGAAAAACTTGGAATAAAGCTCTTGAAAGCTACAAAACTGGAAAATTTCAAAAAGCTCAACTGAAAGCTCTCGTCTTGTATGTGTACCTAAATAGGTGTTTTTTTTCAAAACTATTTTATACCCGCTATTTAAGAAAAACCCAGAAGGCGTCATCAATTAAAAAGAGGGTTTGCAGAATTATTGAGCTTTTAGAAATATAAAGTTCACAAGTTTAATAGCTACAGACATAAACACTCTAATATGATTTTAAAGCAGTGACGACCAAAAGATATCAGCGAGAGAAGTATTTAAAAGCTTTCTTTAGAATATATGTGTTAAAAGCTCTCTGACCGTCACTGCTGAGTGGCAGAGTACAGTAATTTATAGCATACAGTCTTCATTTAAACCTCTTCAACTACCGCTGTAAATGAAGAGCGATTTCAAATATTTCGCCCTTCAAATATCTACATAAATTTTTAAAAATGAGTAACTGAAATTTAATTTTATATGCTAAACAAATTTAATTTTTTAGTTTAAAACGCGCCTAGGGACTTTTTTCTACTACTACTACCATTTTTTAATATTATTATTATTTTTTAATTGCAGGTCAAGACTGGCACGTCGCACATTGGAGTCGTCGGCATCGCAAACCGCATCACAAATCCAAGCTACAACGGCGTCAAATGCACAGACAAACAATAAATGAGATACAATTACGATGGAATCTGTATTNAAAAAAAAAAATATTAAAAAATAAGAGCAAAAATTGCGAAAAAACTCAAATACGCTTCACTGTTATCAGAATAAATAAAATCTATTAAAAAGCATTAAAGGCAAAGGCAACATGAACAAATAAAACTTTACTATATTTATTAGAGTTTATATATTTTATTTTATTTTTATAGTACGCAAGTAAAAATTTTTTTAAGTAGCTATAACTTTTAGATGTGTGTACTTTTTCTATATTTTTGTTGAATTTATATTTTTTTGTAAATAGTTTCAATTTAGCATAACTCAAACGTATAGAAAAAGATAGTTTTTTAAATGCAACTCTGATATTATTTTATTTCATTTAACTTTTTAAAAGCATTATAAAAACATGTAAAATTACATACTACATACTTTTAAACAATTTCTAAATATTATTTATACAGCTTTTTAATGTGTAAATGTAGGTATTGTAAAGAGCAAACACACAAAAACAAAAAAATTGCACAGCAAATGTATTTATGTATGTAGTTGAAATCGCGCTAGTTTAATTGGCAGCAAAGAGTTTGAGACAAAGAATAAGTAGCAAACACGCTAATGTATGTATGTATGTAACGTAGGCAATTTTTTTTTAAATTCATAGGTACATATTGTTTCAAAATTTTCCTTTACTATATAAGAGCTGAAATTTTCAATAACAATATAAATATATATTTATTAAATGTATAACAAGCAAATTTTCGATGTATTTAGCAGCAAAACAAATACAGAATGGAAAAAATAACTCAGTGCGAACTTAAGAAACACGTAAAATGCACTAATATGGATTCCACAAGATTGCAGAGTAAGAGTATAAAAGATAATGATTTAAAAAAAATTAAGAAATGTAAAAATAAGTAAAAAAATGTTTAAAAAAAATTTAAAAAAATATCTATTCATAAAAAAATATTTGAGTTGATAAGAAACATACAAAGGAATTATAAAAAAGCAAAAATTTAATTCATAAAAATTCCATATTTGAAAAAAATATTTTATTTGAGTAAAAAATTTGCGTTGAAAAATTATTTTAAAATATTTAAATAATGCTTTATATAAAACTATGAGCAAATATTTGAATAATAAATAGTTTATTAAAAATAAAACCAAATATTAGTTGATAGTCTCAGTTAAGGAACATCACAACTCTCATAATTATAGTGACAGAAATGGAAGCATAACTCTAAAATAACAACAAATTATAAATTGTAACCAAAAGTTGAGAGCTTATTGAGTTTATAATAGGAAAGCTTTTTCAAAGATTTTTTAGTTTTTTTTTGCTATTTCGCAAAGCCGTTGCACAACAAAAAAAATACTTCACTTGGAAAATTTTTTTTAAAAACTTTAAAATTTCACAGCTAATTTTTGTAGTAAAAGGCTCAAGAGAAAATAAGGTAAAATCTCCATAAGCGTCGAAAAAGCGTCCGATTTACACACACAAATGTGCACTTTCTTCAAAGCGACTTTATATCCATATCAGTTTGCCGTAGCATAAAGCTCAAAAGCTGAAAAGTTATTAAAAAAAGATGAAGAAAGCTTGATAAAAGGCTGTACTTTCTTAAGCTTGCATATTTATCTATGTTCCGAAACTCAACATATTTTCGAAAGCAGAGAGTTGGAAATTATGGCATTTATTAAAGCTTTGAAAAAAATTGATTGATTTTCAGCAAACCAAAACNCATATTTATCTATGTTCCGAAACTCAACATATTTTCGAAAGCAGAGAGTTAGAAATTATGGCATTTTTTAAAGCTTTGAAAAAAAATTGATTGATTTTCAGCAAACCAAAACAAAAAAAAAGAAAATAATAATTTCGTCTGCAACCTCTTAAGCGGCAAAACTTGAAAAAAGCTCTTAGCAAAGCTACCTTAAATCTATTTAAATTAGTTGAATGGCTATCTCAAGAGTTGTGGACTGCGATAATAAATTCTTTTGCATCAGAAGACTAAATTAATTCACCGGTAATTTCTTAAGCCTATTCAATACACAAGCATGCAGAGAAGCTGCTTTAAAGCTTTTTAAATGACTGAGGTTCTAACTTTCGTAGCTGAAGGATAAGTAAGGGTAATGAAATAAATTTACGAAAAATATTAAAAAATACTGTCTTCTTGAAAATGATTTTGGAAAGCTGCCTCAAAGCTTTTTTAAACTTAAGGCGGTACTTATGCAGTTTACTAGTTGTAGAAGTAGAAGGGAAGTTCTGATCGCTCTAAAGCTTTTCTTTTTTGTTGCCAAATTCGCTTCAAAAGCTTTTATATACGTTTTCNATAAGTAAGGGTAATGAAATAAATTTACGAAAAATATTAAAAAATACTGTTTTCTTGAAAATGATTTTGGAAAGCTGCCTCAAAGCTTTTTTAAACATAAGGCGGTACTTATGCAGTTTACTAGTTGTAGAAGTAGAAGGGAAGTTCTCATCGCTCTAAAGCTTTTCTTTTTTGTTGCCAAATTCGCTTCAAAAGCTTTTCTATACGTTTTTTTTTAATATTTAGCAAAAAGCACAGCAAGTTAAATTTTCATTGTGCTTTAAATGTAAGTTACGGAATCAAAAACACATTTTATATGCCCGCATATACGTAAAATACTTTCTGATTGATCTTTTTTAATAAGTGGTTTTCCATAATACTCGTAATTTTACCATAATACAGTCGTTCGTCTAAGCATTTCATTCTTGTTGTTTTTCTTGAACAATCAAGCTTTCATTTTCAAGAGGCTTTCGTTATCAAAGCTTTAATTTTTTAACTGTTTGTAAGCTTTAATTTTGTAACTTTTTTTTTTAAATGGCGAAAGCTTTCAAACGCACACCTTTAGGCAAGCAAAGAGTGTGAAAAACCTGGAAACAAGCTTTCAAAACGAACGAGCTTATTGAAAAGGAATTGGAATTGGATTATTAAAGCTTTGCATTAGAAGCTTTAGAGTAAGCTTGAAGTAAAGCGCTTTCGTTGTTCCATACGGTGGAACGAATGTTAAGCGCCCAGAGAGCAAAGAATTTTCATAGAGAAATGAGAATAATTTACAGATTTCTTAGTAATTTGGTGATTAGATTTTATATATTATGATATTGTTTTTCGGCAATTTCTTAAATCTCACAAAGTTTTTTTTGTTTTTTTTTTAAGTGTAAGAAATGAAAGCGCTTCGTTTAAGACAAATCCAGTTTCGTTTATAAAATACTAAGTTGTGGAAAGTTACATATTTATTTAGTGAAGGTATTGAAAAAAATATTAAATAAGAAAATTTGATTCAAAGAAAATAAAAAATAATAAAAATTGTATTAAGAACAATTAAAAACGTAACTTTTAAGGAGTTATAAAAAACAGATATGTTAAAAAAGTGAGTATTGAAATAAATTGTATAACACTTTCAAACCGATATATACACTGAGAAAAAAACGTATATACACATGTAACAAATAGAAAAGAGCAACAATAAATTATTTAAATAAATGTCTTATACTCTTAAAACAAAAAGAAAATTAAAAACAGGAAAAAAACTCAATGCTAAAGTGAAATGTGAAGTATTGCGTGCAATTCAGGTGGCATTTAAGTCGGATTTAGAAGAAGAAAACATACGAAAAACTGGAAGAGTACTTTAAAAAAATTAATAAAATGCAAATACATGCAATTATAGCCGTCAAAACATTCCCGAATTAATAGCAATTCACATACACTCACATACATATATACACATCTTAAACACATGCAAAGATACATATATCCATACATAAACACATTGATAAGTATAGTAAAATGACAAAGGCACACGAAAGGTTAAATATATTTCAAAAGTATATACATACATAAAGAAAAACGTGAAATTCAATAAATAAAATATTTATGTAGACACACTGTGGGGCGAACTATGTATGTATACATAAAGTAGAACTGCATAAATTAATGAGCGAAAACATTTAACGCAAATAAAATTAAAAAAAAAAATGGAGTACAGGAAATGTATGAAACTTATTCAAAGCTAAATGTGTACTATCTCTAGATATTATACGTGAGCGTATCACTATTATTACTTATTATTATTATGATGATTATTATTATAATTATGAATAATATAAATAAAAAGGCTTTAAATAAAAATTGTAAATTACTAAGGGATGTTTTATTTTCACAAATAAAAAAAGGCAGAGTGGAAACAGGTGAAAAATAAATTACATTGTAGCACCTAATACCAGAGATACCAGAAAACGTGGCAATTTCCAATAAACGGGCACGAAAAAAGCGCCATATTTCAACATAAACTGCAGCTTCCTATCAAAACGTCCAACAGCTTAAAGCACATTATTCTTTATTCACATTTATTAGTGGTTTTGCAGCACAACGCTGGTTTAAAACTTATTAAAATTTCAAAAAATTCACAGCTAAACTTTAACTTAAAAAAAGACTATTTCAATACTTTGCTTATGAATGAGAATATTTTAGCAAATTAAATAAGTTAGTTTCTGTCTTTAACTCAATATTAGTTGCTTCAGCGTGTATAATGCCTCGAGCTTTGACCCCGAGTAAGAATTACTTTTTGCCCGTAATTGCCTGCACACGCTCGTCCACTTTAGCCACCTCCTTGTTTATCGTTTCTAGATTTTGTGCGAATGTTTCCTGTACTGAATGCAGCAATTCTTTGTTGCTCACCAGGCTGGTTGTTATCGTAGTTTGCTTCTCCTCAATCTCAGCGATAATTTTAGCAAAGTTCATAGCTTAGTAAGAAAAGATGAATACAATTTTTTTATTTTTTTTTAGTTATTCCCACACCTCCCTTCGCCACTCACCATATTTATGTAAAGCTTCGAGCGCCTGCATACGTTCAATAATATCTGGGAGTATTTCAGCTACAGGCTCCGTACGTTTCGCAATATCATAGAGTTCGATAACTTTTTGATCACGTTTCGCATCCTCAGCCGAACCACTCGATTTCTCAGCTATAGCATCCATTTTGCCTGTGAGTGTAGCCAGCCGTGATTCGATGAGATCCAGTTTGTCAACTTGCAGCAAAGCTGCTTTTGTGCTAAGTTGATGCACAGCTTCTAATACGTTTGAGGTGTTCGTTACGGCTGTAAGGCGACTGAGTTTTTCCGGTTGTGCGCCAATTGCTTGCTCCAGTTGGTGCAAACGATGCTCCAGTTTAGCAATGCGCGCAGAGGCGGCCAAATCAGTGCCAGGCGTTGGTATTGCGGTTAGTAGCCCAGATTTCTTGAACTCCTCCACTTGACCTGCGCAATATTTGATACAAATATTTACATAAGTATATTAAAAAATAAGTTTCACTTTAAACTCACCAATCAATTGCTTCACTTCTTTGTCAGCTGCCGTTGAGACTTGCTCTTTACCCAACACCTGCTCCAACCGTAACGAATCCAGCACTTTCTTAGCAGTTGCTATAACAGTTGCCACTGCATCGTACGACTCCTTCTCTTCTTGTGCAATCTTGCGATCCACTTGGAGTGCTGCGACCTCATCCATCAATTCGTTCATTTCGCATTGCAGTCGCCGGCATTTTTGCACTGGCGTCTCCTTTTCACCCACGCCAACTAGCTCATATTCACCAGCGCGTGCATCGTAGCCTTTGCATAAACGCCGGCCAATGCGATCCGAGAAATCGACACTACCATCAAGTGTAGCTCCGCGGAAGCGATTGTAGGCGTCGCGCGTAGAAATGTGCATGCGCTCGATTGACTCATTCTCCGGCTCTTCTTCATAGTAGTCCGAGGTTTCTGGTTCAGGATTATCGGGCGTTTCATACACATCGGGTTGGTCATAAGCCTGAAATTGAATAAAGTTGCAAATATAGCCATTTTAGGTGGGGTTCATGGTTGGCACCACAGTATAGTTGGCACCAACAGTCATACAAACAAATAAACGCCCTTGCTGTACNCATTTTAGGTGGGGTTCATGGTTGGCACCACAGTATAGTTGGCACCAACAAACAAATAAACGCCCTTGCTGTAGGAGTCAGTTTTATTGAATTTCCAACTATGTGCGCAGCCGATTGCTGGAGGTGTACTTACAATCCCAGGCAAATTCTCGAACTTTGGATCCGCCATTATTGTAGGCAGTTCTGCGATTTTCGATTAAGGAATCCGTAGTTTTTATATATTTTTGCTTTCAATAATTTGCTGGAGCAGCTCAGCGCAAATTTTTTCACTTGACACAAATGCAATAACAAAAAAGAGACGTCAAAAGTGATGTCATTTTTCAGAGTGAAACAACATGGAATGGAACGAGGGCGGATGATTGAATGAAAAAAAAGAATTGAATTATTTGGTCCCTAACCGATTCCGGTGGCGCATTTTTTCCCATGTAAACTGCCAAAATAATAATATCCCAAATTACGCCCACAAAACGTAACGTGATATAAACGTAGATTTATAAAACATCGAGTTTTTTTAAACTTTAGTTAATAAACTTTATTTTTAAATATTTACACAGTTGTTCACAGCTAATTTAATGCCGTCCATACTTTCAATGTATAGTTGTACAGAACTAGAGGGAATTCAATAAAGGCACTCGTTAGGCACTTTTAAAGCGGTTTGGAGGGAGCGGATTAGTTATTTGCCCAATAATTTCGTGTTATTGTGTACAAATGGACAAGGGTCTAAACTATATTTTCAAAACTTTATTTCCTAATTTTCTGTGACTAATTTGTTAATAGACAGGGTTAGACTGATGAGCGTTATTTTTCTTTTCTGCACAAAAATACTATGGATGGCGTAAACCGAGTTTACATTTCCTGTGTTAAAAAAAAAAAAATTAATTTTACCACATTTTCAAATTGCTCCAAACATCTGTGACAGAGTTCGAGGGGGAAGGTACAAAGCATGATAAAAATATAGTAAGGTAGAACCGCTGAGAGTCACTTTTACAATTCTTGACGTTTCCAAACAATTTAATTTTTAAATTTACTCACAAACTCACACACACATTTTCATTTTCAATCTCAAGCAACAACAATTTCGAACAATTTAAATTTTTTATTTTCACTTTTATATGATTTTAAAATGTTGGCAAACTTCAAAAAAAAATCATGGCCGACAAATTGAGGGAACGGTTCTACCTTGCTATGTTTTTATCATGGTACAAAGATTGAACTGTTCTCATTCTAATGAGTGAGGTTTCAAGAGCCACGCCTCCTTCTGCTCCGCCTACTAACCCAAAAACCGTGGGCAAATAACTAAACATTACCCGATTTAGAACTCAAACTTAATAAGTTTTAATCTAAGAAAATTTCTAGCTACAACTCATTTTATGCAGATATTTTATATAAGTATGCTTCAAATTAATCGTCTGACCTTCACGTACTTCCGGCTAGTTACTTGAGGACCTCCCCGAGATTTGCCAACTGAGTTGGGGTGTGCGAAAAAACGTGGCTGGAAAACTTAACCACCAGGATTGTAGAAACGTCGCCGACTATTTAGCCGCTTTAAACTGGTTGTCAAATTTTCTGATTTCCAACAGAGCTAGAAAAAAAAACTAAAAATAGTGCTAGAACCCAGACCGGGTTTCCTTTAGGTTTTGGGGTCGCTGATCTACAAAAAAGTGTCGGGATTAGGGGATCAAAATATCCTTTCCTAATGTATTTTGAAGCGCTGCTTACGAATCTGAAGTCCGTTTTCTCCATCACGTCAGAATTTTTTCCTAGCCTCTAAAACATGGCGGATATTATGGGACAGGCGGAATCGGGGTTCGGGGATCGGACGCAGTATCCCTTTCTTGTGCTTTTGGATGAGCTGAACACGAATCTGCCTGTGTCAGACGCATAATATCCGTCCTGGAGAAAAATAAACCACGGATTTGGAATCAGCGACCCCAAAAACGTATAGTACTTAGGAGTGCTCTGGGTTCTTGTTTTTTTTAGCGGTGTAATTCATCGCTTCGGTTTATATGGAAGGTAAGAATCTAAAATTCCTGATAGGTGAAGCGCAACAAGGTTGTTAATATTTAAGCGCGTTACCCTGAGAATACAATGGAGTATAGTCGTTGTTCTCAATCCCGACTCTTGCGTCCTCGTGCGCGCACCAGTAGGTGCGACTACAAGCGGGCACTATATAAATGTGCATTCGGTTAAGAAATCACCCCTCTCCCAGCAATGGGTTGTGCGCTGGGCTTGGAGCCCGCCACCTAAAAACTTCTTCCAGTGAAGAAGCAAAAACATGTCACCGGTATGTATGAAGTGCAAAGCTAGAGAGCTTAAAAAGCTCGACACATTCGGCCATGAAGTGGACTGTTCCGCTGTAAAAAGTTATTGAGAAAGGAAAAGGATGAATAATCAGTTTCAGGAAGGGCTTCACGTCACTGATAAAAAATATACAGATAGCTCTCAGCATGTGGGCCTAAGAAATAGCCTATTGCATCTTAAGCCCATCGCGCCAATCCACCACTCAAAGTTTATTGAGCAAAAATCATCACTAACAGATTTGTGATCAACGTAAATCTTCTCATCGAGATTCCCCAGTAAAAAAGCCACTTTTTTCAACCTTGTAAGGTTGTTCCACCTGCTAATCAAGAGATTTCAGCTGCTTGAAAATCTGAACAACGATCAGACATAACCATTTTTTTATTGGGTACCTTATAGGTCGTTAATAACACTGGTTTGCAACAAAAATGTTCTATGGATGTCACTATCCAATTCCTATGTAGAATTGCTCGGCGAAAATCTTTTCTATGGATACGTTTCGAGATATTTCCAATTTACCGTTATTCAGCCTAAGGCAAAAATTGGTTCCTTTTAATCACGTATATCATGCGAACCAATTTAATATAAAATACGGTAAATGAAAGCTTATAAAATTCTCCATAAACCGTATATACATCACTTTCCCATATGACTTATAGTTTCTGAAAAGTAATTAATCATTTCAGTTTTTTTTTTTTTATTTTTTAATGAAGAAATGAAAAAAAATCAAACTTCAACAGAGAAAAAATTTAAAAAATAACAGGTTCTGTGCTAAATTTTGACCTTTGTGCCAAAGTCTGTTCTGTTACAAAAAACAATCAAGTTACTAATGAAGAAAATCGATGGATAAATAAGAAATAATGAGTGGTCAAATGAAAATACGCAAAGATTTTTGTATGAAAAATGAGCAGGAAAGGAAGTTACTCATACGCCACGTACACCAGAGTAACACGTACAGCTGAGTAACGTACATACGGAAAATGAGCCCATCTCGGCTGAGGATTCGAACACGCCCTATCTCAGCAAATGGTTCAAGAATGCCCTATTTCGATGCCGCCTAAATACCGTCATTACATGAGCAGAATATCGATTGCCACCTCCATTTCCTCTTGCAGAGAAACCCCACAGTAGTCTGGAGGCCTAAATTTGAAATTTACAAAGAATAGTTTCCAACAGAAGACACGATTCCTTCATAAAGTTTTGACTCGCTTATGAAAAAGTTCACTGGTCCCTCTTTCAAGCCACTGAATGCCACCCACTCATCCCATATCCGCCAGTCAGCCTCCCAGCGCGCTTGAGTCTCAACGTAGGTCGTGCTCTGGCAATTTTACCAGCGGTCGAAGGAATATAAAACACATAAGTACTCGTACAATTTATTTTCCTAATAAAAAAGATCCTTTATAAATAAATTCATACTACCTTGCAGCAATCTATTCAATTTGTTCACTCTATACGTTGACACGTTTTGCCAACCAGTGTGACCACAAACGGCAACAATGCACCAAATACGAGTACTACCTACCCAAATGTCAACAAATTTCAGTTGCTAATGTGTGTGAATGTTCACGGCGGTGTACATGCGAGTTAATCAAATGAAAAACACCATTCAATGCGCACAAAACCCAGATTGAAATTGAAAACCCACTCGCCGTATGTATGAAAAGCAAACAACCTGTGAAAGAAGAAAGCGCACAGGGAAGCAGCTTCAGAGCTCCATGTGGCAGCTGTAGCTTTTTATGTGGGCTTGCGTGTACATTTGTCGCCACACGGCTTGAGGGAGGCAACTTGAGGCAGGTCCAGACATTGTAGTCGCAAAGTGGATACACGCTTGCTTTGCCGCATTTTAGCTTGGGACCGTTTTTTTGCTTCATTTGTGTTTATTTATTTTTTTTTGCTGGCGTTTAGAAATATTTCGGTTGGTTTAGCAGCCAAGGTGAAGTGACTGCAAGTTGCAAAGAAAGAAGGTTAAAGAGAAGGAGACATACCCTCTAGAATGTTGAAGGATATGACGAGAAAACTTCATAGGTACGTACATACATACATATGTAAGTATGTATCTGGGTTACTAGCATATGTATCTTTGTGTAAAGGTTAAGTTTTCGTTGGCAATATTACAAGTTTGCACTTGAGTTGTTCGAAAAGGTTTTCCAAGCAAACACATTTGTATGCATTTATGCAGTGGCTTTTGCTGGAATGCTGTGTTGCTGGTAGTTTAAAATTTTAAATGAAGGAATTTAGCACTTGCTGCTGAGTGATTTGAGCAGTTGGAAATAAATAAAAGAAACAAGTAATTTAGAAAAAATATAAGACTAGCTTTTGTTAGTGGTTTGTAAAAAAAAAGATCTCCGCGGCGCCTAACAGCTAAATTGTTTATGGAATAATTTCTTTCCATTTAGGTAATATACGAATAAGTTCTAAATATGGAACAAATCCGACCCTAAATACGGATTTTCCAAATAACTCGACACCTGCGCCACCTACCGGGCAACATTTTTATAAGTACAGTGGTCGTCCAGTATAACGAATGATATAATGTCTGGGTTCATACGCTATTGATTCACAGCTCTAAGTTGCTCAATTAGAATCCCCACTTATCGCACAATTTGGAAGACAAATACTGTTAAATCCACGAATGCGTTGGATATATTGTGGCTTCCTAAAGAATAGAAACTTCGCTCGGTTTTCGATACCAGCTAGGCAGCTTGTAAGCAAGTCTCCAGGTTGCCTCCATATCCCAGTGACCTAGAACTCAAATGAGGTTTAGACTGTTCTGTTTAGCCATCTTCTGTAAAGATCTAATACACTAGTTGCAGGCTGCGCAAACAAAAACACATCAGTGATTTTCGCAATTAACTTCAAGACATCAATGAGAATTTCGATACAATTAGGTGGCGTCCCTAATGAATCCTAAAAGGACCTTAGTAGTCGGATTCGTTATTACTAAGGGGTTGACCGTTGGAGCTTTAAAATAAATGTAAATTTGTATAGCTAAGCCGAA